AAGAAACTCAACTAAGATACAGAAGATATAAAGCCACAATCAATCAACTTGACCTCATAGACATATACAGAACACTCCACCCAACAGCAAAGTATAGATTCCTTTCCAATGCACATGAAACATTCTCCAGAATAGACAACATCTTAGGCCACAAAGCAACCCTCGACAAAATCTAAAACACTGAGATAATACAAAGCATCTTCTATGATCACAACACCATAAAAGTAGAAATTAATAACAGGAAGAGCAAGGAAAAAAATAAAAAACATGGAAACTGAATAACACCTTGCTTAAAAACCACTGGGTAATAGAAGAAATCAAAGATGGAATCAAAAAATTCCTAGAATCAAACAAGAATGAAAATACATCATACCAAAACCTTTGGGACACAGCAAAAGCAGTGCTTAGAAGTCAATTCATAGCAATAAATGCACACATCAAAAAAGAAGAAAGGGACAAAATCAAAACATCAGCTACACAACTCGAACAAATGAAAGAGAATAGCAAAAGAAGCTCACAGCCACCAGAAGAAAGGAAATAATAAAGATCAGAGCAGAAACAAATGAAATAGAGAATAGAAAAACAATAGAAAGAATCAACAAAGCCAAAAATTGGTTCTTTGAAAGAGTCAACAAAATCGACAAACCATTGGCCAAACTGACAAAAGAAAAACAGGAGAGGATGCAAATAACCCAAATAAGAAATGAAATAGGGGACATTACAACAAACCTAACTGAAATAAAAAGGATCATAACAGAGTCCTATGAAAAACTGTACTCCAACAAATTTGAAAACCTAGAGAAAATGGACAAATTTTTAGAAACACATTATCTACTTACACTAACACAAACTGAAGTAGAAAATCTGAATAGACCCATAAGAGAAGAGATTTAAAAGGTAATAAAAAAAAAAAAAAAAAAAACTTGCTCCCCAAAAAAGTCCTGGCCCAGATGGCTTCACTGAGAATTCTACCAAACATTCAGAGAAGAGCTCATACCAGTACTACTCAAACTATTTAGAACATAAAAAAGGAAGGGATACTTCTGAATTCATTCTTTGAAGCCAGCATAACTCTGATACCAAAACCAGGCAAAGACACCACAAAAAAAGAAATTACAGACCAATATCTCTCATGAATATAGATGCAAAAATCCTGAACAAAATTCTAGCCAATAGAATTCAGCATCATATCAAAAAAATAATATACCACGACCAAGTGGGATTCATACCGGGTATGCAAGGATGGTTCATTAGAAATCAATCAACGTAATCCACCACATAAATAAAACAAAAGAATCATCTGATCATCTCCAAGCAGAAAAGGCATTCAATAAAGTCCAACACCCATTCCTGATAACACTGCCAATAAGATAGGAATAGAAGGAAATTCCTCAACATAATAAAGGGCATCTATATGAAACCTACAGCCAACATCATTCTTAATGGAGAGAGGCTGAAAACATTCCCCCTGAGAACAAGAACAAGACAAAGATGCCCTTTATCACCACTCCATTTTAACATTGTGCCTGAAACCCTAGCTAGAGCAATAAGGCAACAAAAAGAAATAAAAGGAATCAAAATTGGTATGGAAGAAGTGAAACTATCCCTATTTGCGGATGATAGGATACTATACATAGAGAACCCAAAAGACTCCACGAGAAAACTACTAGAACTAATAGAAAGATTCAGCAGAGTAGCAGGATACAAGATACACATACAAAAATCAGTTGGATTCCTATACACCAATAAATAGAACTATGAAAAGCAAATCAAGAAAGCAATACCATTTATAATAGCCTCTAAAAAATAAAATACTTAGGAGTAAATCTAAACAGGGACATAAAAGACCTGTACGAAGAAAACTACAATACACTGCTTCAAGAAAACAAAAGAGACCTACATAAATGGAAAAACATACCATGATCATGGATAGGTAGACTCAAAATTGTGAAAATGTGAATTCTACCCAAAGCAATCTACAAATACAATGCAATCCCAATCCAAACACCAACAGTATTCTTTAACAAGATGGAAAAATTAATCATTAACTTTATATGGAAAGGAAAGAGGCCCCAGATAAGTAAAGCATTATTGAAGAATAAGAACAAAGTAGGAGGCCTGGCACTACCTGACTGAAGAACCTACTGTATAGCTACGGTAGTCAAAACAGCCTGGTACTGGTACAATGACAGACACATTGACAAATGGAACAGAATTGAAAACCCAGATGTAAATCCATCCACCTTTGGTCACCTGATCTTTGACAAAGGCCCAAAGTCAGGGAAAAGACAGTCTTTTCAACAGATTGTGCTGGCAAAACTGGATGTCCATCTGTAGAAAAATGAAACAGGACCCATACCTCACACCATACAAAAAAACTAATTCAAAATGGATCAAAGACCTAAATATAAAACCAAAAATTATAAAGATCATGCAAGAAAAATTAGGGTCAATGTTAGCGGCCCTAATACATGGCACAAACAGGATACAAACCATAACTAACAATACACAAATACCGTAAGATAAACTAGATAACTGGGATCTTCTACAAATTAAACACTTATGCTCATCAAAAGACTTCACCAAACAATTTTGGCTATGACATATCCAACAAAGGTCTAATCTCTAAAATCTATAGGAAAATCCAACACCTCTACAACAAAAAGACAATCCAGTTAAAAAATGGGCAAAGGATATGAACAGACACTTCACCAAAGAAGACATTCAGACAGCTAACAGACACATGAGGAAATGCTTGAGATCACTAGCCATTAGAGATATGCAAATCAAAACCACAATGACATACAATCTCACCCCGACATTATTGGCACAAATCAACAAAACAGAAAATAACAAATGTTGCAGAGGCTGCAGGGAGAGTTGAATTCTTAGGCACTGCTGGTGGGAAATACAAAATGATACAAGCATTTTGGAAAACAATATGACACCTCCCTAAAAAACTAGAAATAGAAATACCATAGGACCCAGCAATCTCACTCCTAGGAGTATACCAAAAACCAAATCAAACCCATTGCCACTGAGTCCATTCTGACTCATGGTGATCCTACAGGACAGAGTAGAACTGCCCCATAGGGTTTCCAAGGAGTGGTTGGTGGATTCAAACTGCCAGCCTTTTGGATAACAGCCGTAGCTCGCCATAGCTCTTAACCACTGCACCACCAGGCCTCCAGCCTAGGAGCATATGCTAGAGAAATAAGAGCCATCACATAAATAATCATATGTATACCTAGCTTCATTGCAGCCTTATTCACAATAGAAAAAGATGGAAGCAATCTAAGTTCCCATCAACAGATGAATGGATAAACTATGGTATGTACACACAACAGAATACTATGCAACAATAAAGAATAATGATGAATCTGCAAAACATCTCACAACATGGATGAATCTGGAAGGCAAAGGACAAATACTGTATGAAAACACTTTATAAAAACTCATGAAAAGGTTTACACATAGAAAGAAACAATCTTTGATGGTTATGAGGGAGGGTGGAATGGGGAGGGAAAAACACTAACTAGACAATAAATAAATGGTAACTTTAGTGAAGGGTAAGACAGTACACAATACTGGGGAAGTGAGCACAACATGACCAAGGCAACGTCATAGAAGATTCACAGACACATCGAAACTCCCTTAAGGACCAAGTTACTGGGCTGACCATCGTCTTGGGGGACATCTAGCTCAACTGGCATAACATAGTTCATAAAGCAATATAAGACAAGTCACTCAGCTCTTCTCGGCCAGCTGTGGAAGCAAAGTAGGCCTTCTCTCTGCTGTGCACGCCTCCTCTCAGTCAAGCAGGCCTCTTCTCAGCCCCCTCGGGAAAGGCTGCTTCTTAGCCCGCTGGATTATGATTCTATAACGAAGGGAACTAGAGGAGGCCTGTCCTGGGGGTGCTGAGAGGAGGTCTGCATGGCTGAGAAGGGGTTTGCCTGGCAGAGAAATTTGCTTGCACACTGAAGAGGAGCTAGAGCTGTACTGCACTGAAGAAGGGAGGGATGTGCTCTCCACTTCAGGGGACTCTTCCAGACTTTGCCTACATGCTTCCTGGTCCTGATCCTGAGTTGTCGCTTGTTGATCCTGATCATGAGTTGTACCCTGTTGAAAAACCAAACTCATTGTAATCGAGTAGATTCCAACTCATAGCGACCCTATAGGACAGAGTAGAACTGCCCCATAGGGTTTCCAAGGAGTGGCTGCTTAGCAGCCAAGCTCTTAACCACTGCACCACCAGCGCTCCAATAAACCACTTAACTATAAGAATAGTCTGTGAGTTCTGTGTGGCCATTGCAATGAATTATCAAACCCAGCAGAGAAGTAGAGAGTGCCATGGGAGGGACGGCTTGTGTCAGAATTGGTAAAAAGGTTGAAGAATGGAGGTATGTCTGGCCCCCACCTCATGGGAATCAGCTTTGTGCTGATGGTGATTCTCATTGTTCCCCCTGAAGTTAGACAGGTTCTGATGCTACTACTACTACCATTTTACACATCCCAAACATCTCCTTGACAGCAGGTGCTAAATTTTGCCTCTCTGAAGAGGGCTGCGGGTTATGTCGTACTTCAGCAGCTTCCACTTTCTCCTACAGTCTTATTTTCCTCAGATAATTCTGATGGGTTTCAGAAAGGTGCTCCCATTCCTGCCCCCATCACAAGACAGATGAGCAGAACCAGAGCAGGATAGTCTGGAATCACCCAAGAGGTTGCTGATCGCAGCATCTCCAGTTAATCTACGTGTTTGACATGACAATGGTTGGGAAGCTCTGCAGAGTTCACCATAGGATCTGTAACCTAGTTTTCTTTTTCTCAAAGTCACAATAACTTAAGACACAAAATTAAGATAGCATATAGTTTAATTATTTCTCTTTCCATTCTATCCAGCCTGGGTTCTATACTCTTTCCTAGGAGCAATAGGACTCAGAAGCAGAGGAAGAGTGATCAGAAAAGATCAAACATCTTTGTCTTGTTTCATTTCCAATTAGGTGGGAAACTTTCAGCGACAATTAGCAGAGGCTAAGGAAGACAACTGCAAAGTTACAATCATGTTGGAGAATGTGCTGGCTTCTCACAGTAAGATGCAAGGTGCTCTGGAAAAAGTACAAATGGAGCTTGGGCGGAGGGATTCAGAGATCGCAGGCCTCAAGAAAGAAAGGTACCTGAGATTACTTTTCTGTCCTTGACATGATTGCATTGTATTAAGCGGCAGTGTGCAGTTAGGAAATGAAGTCACTTTGTATCTTCCTTTGTGAAAGACTAGTAACAAGTATTTAAAGAATTAGCAAATTAGGGGAGATCTCAGATTAGAAATGAACATGATTTTCAAAAATTCAAAATTTTTCTAGTGATGTGAAGGACTATGTATCCTAGAAATTTATCTATTTCTGTTTTACCCTTGCTGTTTTCCTTACCATTTAAACCTAATTCTGCCCTTGGGACTACAGAACAGTAATTGTCAAGATAATTGAAGCTAAATGCCTACTTTATTTTGAATTAATTATCCATTTATTAGTATCCTATTTCAAGATTAAGAATTATTTTAGGTGAATCATTCTGAGAACTATGCCTAACCAAGTTTTATAAGTTAACTCCTTTGAATAAGTTTCAAAGGTTACATAAAAGTTTTCCTTTTAGGTTATACAACAGGTGGTCTGAGTTTAATATGGCCTTTAAAAATATATTGTAATTTGTGTGTTAGTGGTGCATATTGCCTCTATGCTGTGGGAGAACAAGCAAGGCTTATTTTCTTCATTGTCCTTTTCTTTAATTTCTACATTATGAATGTGTATTACCTTTGAATTAAAAAAAAAAAAGTCAAGGGGAATGGTTTTAAAAATGTTGATTGCCATACAATAAAATTCTAGGCAGCTGTTGTATTTAGAAGCAAAATTCTCAACAGCAAACCAATCCATGTGGAGGTGATACTTTTTTTTTTTTTTTTACTGGTGATATATTCTTACTTATATAGAAGTACTAGCCCATAAGTTAGCAGCATATATTGAGAATCTAATGTATCAAGCCAAATTGAATCATGGATGTGACAAGCTATTTAATACCTAAGAGCCCTAGTGTCCTAACCTGAAGCTGAGGCTACTAATGGTCATTTACCAACTGTTAGATATTCTGAGCATCTGTAGGCTACTACATATGACACTATTAGCTTCTCAGAAGAAAAGTGCACTGTAACTCTCAGGCATCCCGTGCCTAGACGATTCTATAATCACTCTCTTGTGCTTCGCATTTCTAGGGCTCTAAATCAACAGAGGGTGCAGAAGCTGGAAGCAGAAGTGGACCAGTGGCAGGCCAGAATGCTGGTCGTGGATGCCCAGCACAGCAGTGAGGTAGAGGCCAGGTTTCTAAAGATGGTAACATTGAGATTTGGGGTTTTATTGGGATATTGGTTTACACTGCTGTTTTGGAAAAATGATGTGAAACAATGAGGTAAATTTCCCTTGCATTCAAGTCTAAGTTTTGGACAGCGACATATTTACAAATGGGAAATGGGCCTGGAGTCTTACAGTGAGTCACTTATTGGCAAGCCAGGACCACTATGCTTAATTCTCTTTGTCTCATGTGTTCTTTTCCTATATTAATGCATAAATGGCTGCAGAAGTTAAAGAACTTAGAAAATAACTTTTACCTCAGTCATAAGTAGCTAGAGTGATCCCACAATTAATAAGGAGACACACACAATGTGTGTGTGTTGGTTTATGCACATGTGTGAATATATTTTATATATATATACAACACACATATAAAATACACATGGATTTTCCATATAAATAAGCTTTTTCTGGAAGATTATACAAGGAACGTTTGTCAGTTCTTCTCTCCTTAGGAAGTGGGACCAGAAGGTCAGAGGATCAGGGACAGGAGTTTGAACTGGTTAAAATTTTTTAAAATTAGGATAAACTAACTCTGTTTTGCACAGCTTTCTAGTGACCAGTTGAGCATAACCTTCCCATTGCCTCCAAAGATTCTCCTAAGCAATATCTGTAATAAATTCTCACATATATATTTCAGGCATCTTGAATTTTTGGTTCTGGTTCCCACTAACTGTTGTTTCAGTATTACTTGATGATACAGTGAAAGAAATGAGCATACAGTGTTATTGAGTCTTGCTTCTGTTACAGGGGAATTTGAAACACTTTTCTGTCTTTCAGATGGAGCCTCTACAAAAAGCTCTAGATATAGCTAGAGAAGACAACAGAAAACTGGCTATGAGCCTAGAGCAAGCTCTCCAGACAAATAATCATCTGCAGACAAAGCTTGAGCACATTCAAGAGAAACTGGAAAGCAAAGAACTTGAGCAACAGAATTTGGAAACCTTCAAGTAAGGGCAGTGTAGTCACAGTGAAATTAGGGAAGAGCCTCTGGGAGAGTAAGTTTGACTCATTCACATAGAGGAGTTAAACCCTTTTTTCCTTCTGCTTTGAAATAGTACTCCCAGCAGAGCCATGTGAAGGAACCAGGCTTGGCGGAGCAGCATCAGATACTGACTGGCTGGGGTATACTCATCTGGCTCTCCTTTCCAGCTCTTCCCTCATCCAGTACCAAGCTTCTTCTTATGTGAAATTGAGCCAAAAGTTAAAGATATTGGTTGGAAGGGACACTTACATGTTTCTGCCAAGCTTTTTCTATCAACAGCTCATACATCCTTTAAAAAAAGCATGATTTGGATAAGGAATAACAGCAGCTAGGTGAAAATTCCTCATTTCCAGGAGTGGGATGACTCCATTTAAGTAGGTGTTAAACCATTAGTTGTTTCTAGTTTTGACCTGTGATTATTTAGGTCAAATCCATCAGGTTCAGGTCAAGCCACTAAAGTTTTGCCTTTAACTGTATCTAGGTAAATAGGATTTAGATATGGAGTAAATAACATTAATAAGATTGCATGGAAATGTACACCCAAAGGAAATACAGTGTGCACATGGCTCTTTATTCTTTTCCATTAGTGAACACGCTGATATAGGATAAAGGTGTAGGCTAAAACAAAGAGAGGGTATTTTTCGTATACGTAATCTGTGCAAATTTTATAGTCTGGTGAAATGTTACTAGCTCAAGACTATTCAATATTGGTTGAAACAAAGTTGTGTTTATATAGTGGTTGTTACTGTCGTTTAAAAACCTTTCAATACCAGCTTGGGTAGCTACAGTTTAGATGATAGTTGTTTCAAATCTTAAAAATTCTTTAGGTGACCAGCAGATGAAGTCTTTCCCATTACTGCCAAAAATTTCTTGGCAAGCTCATTTGTGGGAAAAGGATGAGGTAAAGTCAGAGGTCTCCTTACAGCATTTGCTTGGAGGTTGAGAATTTACATTTATGCCACTGCTTATGATAGTTGGTATTTTCATTAAAGATGAATGATGCTTTTTTACCTGAGATCTATGGACCTCTTGAAATTATATGCAAAATTATACTTATTAATACACACACTCAGGAAGAAAAAGCAAGTTTGGGAGGTTATGTTTTCAACATGTTGAGTTTGAAGTGGAATTATTTAGTAGACTACTAGAATTGTAGGACTTGTTCTGAAAAGAGGTTTGGAATTCATCTCTATAAAGGTGGGAGTTAAAGCTTTGGCATGGGTTAGACTTCCATGGAAGAAGTCTGGAGAGAAAACCAAGGTCAGAACTTTGGGAATTCACTACATTAGGACGAAGGAACAGAGAGGCCAGAGAAGGAGCATATAGGGAGTTACGGAAAGAATCAGGAGGCAAAAATGAGCGAGTCAGATACTGCAGAGAGTCAAAGGGAATAGGTCCAAAGAAAAAGCCATTGGCTTTTGTAACTAGTGTCTACTGATAATCCTCCAGATGGCCAATTTCTGTGAATGTAGATGCTTACAAAGAGTTAATCAGCGATTGATGAGGAAAGGCAGGCAAGGGGGACAGTGTAAAAGGGAAGGAAGATGGGATAGCAGCTCAGGGCATAGCATGAGGACAAGCTACTCTGCTTCTTTCGTTTTTAGGATAGGAGGAACTGGATGAATAAACCAGATGAACTGGAAAAAAAAAAAAAGAGCACATATAGAAGGGTTATCATTGAAAATAAAGTTGGGCATTTCTTCATTTAAGCCCAGACGGAAATAGGAGAAAATGGATGACTATGGATGACTATTCAGAGGGCCTGTTAAGCGAGCTAATGTTGGATGGTCTAATATTTTCCTTAGAAGAAAATAGGAGTTGAAGCTGAAATGATATGTATGGGATGCAAGGAGTTGGGAGAAGAAGAGACTTGAGAAAAGAGGAAATTAGAATTTTTAGGGCTAAATGATGATGATGACAATTATGATGATGATGATAGCAGCTAGCATTTATTATGTACTTGCAATGTGTGTTGGGTACTGTGCTAAGCACTTCAAATGCATTATTTCCTTTGTGCAGCATTATTTCCAAATTTGACCCAGTGATGATAGGTACTATTATTATTCCCATTTTACAGATAAGGAAACAAGCATGTAAAGATGCTGTACCATACCCAAGATCACACATCGTGTTAGAGCTGGGATTTGGATCCAGGCAGCAGTAGGCTGACTCCAAAACCCACAGTCTTAATCATTTTGCTGTAATAAACACAAGAAATTTAAAGGCAATTTATAAAGTTATTGTATTAAGAAAATGAAAGTACCATACACAAACAAATAATGGTTTTGTTCCTTTATATGTCTCCCTGTATGTTGTCCATTTTTTAGAATGGGGTGGATAATGGGAAGGAGTATGGGAATGTAATAAATAACAAACCATAATTATCTCCAATGACTTCGGGATCTTCCACCCCTTCATGCTTCACCACATGCCTTTGGGCCAGTTGTCAGCAACTTTGTAGAGGCGATGTGCCAAAGTTTATTGATATTCTGTACTGGGGGGGGGGATGGAGGACAACAGTTACAGTTACCATCTGCAGGTCTCATCTGCAGAAGCCAGTGCTGTCAAGTGGACAAGTTGGATCCATTAGCAGAGGCATTTTAGAAACACACAGGGAATATGGGCATATAATCCACAACAGAGCAAGAGATGGTCAGGAGAGGAGAGAGAGGAAGGAAGATTTCAATGGCAGGCAGGCTTCTCCTACCCTTTGAAAAATGCTGATATCTCATGAAGTAGTCACACGTTAAGTCTTTATCAGCTAGGTCAGAGTTTGTTAAAGTTGGAAGAAACTAGCAATTGTTTAAATCCATTACTTTTTAATCTTTTTCAGAGTCACGTATCCCTTTAAGAGTCAAAATCTACGGACACTTCCACACAGACACACTACATTTTGCACATCATTCCAGGGAATTCAGGCATCCTCAGAAGCCTATCCATGGATCCTGATCAAAGAACCCAAATTAAAAGTGCTGATTTACTATAAGGCTCTCACTTTATAGATAAGGAAACAATATAATTTTAAGTTAAAACTTCAGGAGTAAATAGTTGATAGCAAAAAGACACGACCAGATAAAACAAATATCTTTTATAGTAGAACTGCTTCCTCTAATATTTTTCCTTGATGTGAGTTTTTTACTCTTTGGTTGAATCTCTTTACACAGAATGAATTTTTGTTTTGTTTAAAGCTACAGGTAAATGCACATTTTTTGTCTTCTGTTAATGAGCTCCAGATCAGTGAGGTTCACCTGGTGACTGATCCGCTTCTTGTTTGTAAATCCCACACCTTTGGAAATTTACACATTCCCCTCTGAATCTTTGTCTTCTGAGATGCCTTCTAAAGGTGATTTATCATCTATCTTCTTCAAAACAGGGAACGGATGGCTGAGGAGTCCAAAATGGAAGCTGAATTACATGCTGAACGCATAGAAGCTCTAAGAAAGCAGTTTCAAACTGAGAGAGAAACTGCAAAGAAAGTGGCACAGCGGGAAACAAATGAGGTATGGAGTCAGGTGACACAAATGTCTCTCTCTAGGTGAATGCTCTCAGAACCAACTAAGGGATTTCAGAGAATGGCTGAAGTGGTTCTCTGACCAGCAAGTCAGATGTGAGTGAGCCATCCTGTGCGGTTTGTAAAATGACACACAGGAAAGAAATTTCTGATATACAAGCTGTTTAGGATCCTAGAGTGGTAACCAAGCGTGGTAGAGGAATAAATAGACTGCCATCTGATAGAGCAACATAAGATCACCTGTCTCCTCAATTCACTTAACTAGCACCCAACATTCATCTACCTCCCCTGACAGGCACATATGAATACAGAAGAAGATAAGGTCTGTGCTCTGGTGTGCGTTAAATGAACCCTTGTTTAATTGTGATCTCTACTCTCGGCATGAGAGAAGTAGGCAAAACAGAAGAGGAACTTTCTTGGTTTGCTAGATGCTGCATACAATTTTGAAGGAATTCAAAGTAAGGAAAGTTCATTGCAGGCTGGCTGGGTGAAGAAGAAGGGAAGCTTAATGAAAGTACAGGATTAAGACTGGCAGAGATGATGAGGCTGGACACCTCATGTGAAAGGATGAACAAAGCTCAGTTGCAAAAATGAACAGGATATGTGAGCAAATGAAAAGGAGGCTCAGTTGACTGGAGCAGAGACTTTGGGAAGTGTCAGAGAACGGGTGGTTCGGTTAGATGGGACCAGCTGGTAGATGGCCTTGACTGCCAGAATGTTACACGTCAACTATTAAGTAAATATGGAACACTATAGATTTCCGAGCAGAGGAGTGATATGAGCACAATTTTAGGAAGGTTAATCTGACAGCAGTGTAAGGTAGGCAAGAATGAAGAGACACGAGAGGCATGGAGACTCAAGAAAACTCTAACAGTTAATTTGGGCATTAGATGATTAAGGCCAAGCAAGTAGTTCTGTTGAAAATTAATATTTCAGAGAGAGCCTTTTTAATACAAAAATCACCAGAGGCTAAATGTTATATTGTAAGCAAAAGAGAGGAAGAATTAGCATAATTCAAGACTTGGCTGAGGAAGGAGGGTGGCTGGTCTGTAGTTTGCCAGATTTGGTACATTTAGCAATTGCAGTGATAAAGAGACCATTCACACAATCAAATTCAACTAATGATACATAGAACAATTTTGTAAATTGGAAAGCAGTATGTAAATATGTTATATAAAGTAAATGCTGGGGAAACAAAAAGTTGTACTAAAGTGTTCCTTTAGTCAGAGATAGTTATTTAGAATATTTTAAAATTTTAAATCCTTTTGACAAGGATCAATGATCCCTGTGACCTTGTGAGACCAGGAGAACAATGAGAGTGTGACATCAGTAGAAAAGTTAGCTGCAGGGGTGTGCTTGGATGCATTGTTTAAGAGCCTGCCTGGCTTTAGAGTGCCATAGACCCAACAGACCAGGATTTGAGTACCAGTTCTGCCACTTTGGAGACCTGGTGGTATAGTGGTTAAGAGCTATGGCTGCTAACCAAAAGGTCAGCAGTTCCAATCCACCAGGTGCTCCTTGGAAACCCCATGAGGCAGTTCTGTTCTGTTCTGCAGGGTCGCCATGAGTCGGAATCAAGTCGACGACAACGGGTTTGGTTTTTTTTTTTTGGTCTGACAATAAGAAAGCCAGTTAGCATCAAGTTGATTCTGACTCACAGTGACCCCATGTGTGTCAGAGTAGAACTGTGATCCATAGGGTTTTCAGTGGCTGATTTTTTGGAAGTAGATCACCAGGCCTTTCTTCCGAAGTGCCTCTAGGTAGACTCAAACCACCAACCTTTTGGTTAGCAGCCGAGTGTGTTAACCGCTTGCACAACCCAAGAATGCCCTCTTCCACTTACTAGCTTTGTGTTAATTTACTAGATATATAAATGACTTAACTTCTGAGTCTCAGTTTCCACAATCATAATATAGAAATCATCACAGCTACTTTCCAGATTTGTTTTGAGGATTAAATTGGAAAATATATGTAATGTAATTATGCATGGGACATAATAAGTACAAAGTAAATGACAGTTTTTAGGACTTGCCCAGGTTTAGACAAAGCTGTGATTGAGGTAACAATGGAATATCTAACAGGAAGTTAGTTAGGTAGTGATAAATGACTAAAACTGTAGTGTGAAGATGGATTTGGAGGAAGGAACTAAAATAGTGAGAAAAGGTACAAATAGCCTTGACTTTATTCTTTGATATGCTAAACACTGCCAGCCATAGAGAATTCCACCTACCTATGTGGCAGTCTGGAGCCCTGGTGGCGGAGTGGTTAAGAGCTTGGCTGCTAACCAAAAGATCTGCAGTTTCAACCCACCAGCTGCTCCTTGGAAACCCTATGGGGCAGTTCTACTCTGTCCTATAGGGTCACTATGAGTCAGAATTGACTTGACAGCAACGAGATCCCTTCTATGAGTCGGAATTGACTTGACAGCGATGGGAATGGGTTATCCCTTCTCAGCTACCTTTTCATAGAATTTAAGTAGCACTGATTTAAGAGCACAGGGAGGAGGAGGGAGACTCTAAAATTCTTTAACTAGTCACTATGCTATTTCTCCAGTAAAGAAATTTATTAGAATCCTTAAAATCAAAAGGCAATATTATAAAAATACATGCTATGATAGTCAATAATTGACGAGTATTTATATAAACTGCCATATAATTTATTTTCAGTTCTCCAGACAACTGGTTGCAAGTGACAGGAAGAGAAAAGCTATGGCATGATAATTACTGAGCGATCACTGTGTGCCAGACCCTACACTTATTCTATACGTTATCTTACTTAACTGTTTATCATATTTAACGAGGTAGGCTATATATACACTTTTTAGATGAAAAACTTCAGGCTTGATTCCTCATTTACTTCCGTAAATTAACCAAAATCACTCAGCTAATATGTGGTGGAACTGAGATTTGAATTTAGGTCTATCTGACTCCAAAGCCATGTACTTAAAAAAACAATGATGAATATACATTTACATTTTTTATCTACTCTAAGATTTTGTTCTTTAGTGTTAAAAACTGAAAATCACTTGACCTATTTGCACCATAAGTCTGCTTAAACAGACATTATTATTATTGCTTTACCATGTTTTTTAAAAGAAATATCCAAAGGAAAGATAATATAGTGACAGAACTAAACAGAAGCTTCTCTTACTGACTGGAAGGTAAAAATGTTCTAATTTTTCCTTTGTGTTCCACAGCTGAAGAAAGCCCTTGACGAAGCCAACTTCAGATCAGTGGAAGTATCCCGGACCAACCGAGAGCTGCGACAAAAAATAACAGAGCTGGAGAAAACACTCAACAGTAACAAGGAGAAAATAAAGAACCAAAAGGCCCAAATTAAGCACCACTTGTCATCCAAGGCTAATAATGCTCAGAATATAGAGAGGATGAAGGTTGTATAAGAAACCATAGCTCTCCCCTCACTTCCTTAGTATCCAGTGAGGATACAGGCAGCTGTGATGTCTGGGGAAAATAGGCTTCAGAGCACTAACAGCAGCATGTGTTGCTCTGGGAATTATAGCTGCAACTGGGAAGTGGGCAGATTGCCTTTGGGGGGACTGTCTCTTATTCAGCAATAGATAGTAATGTGTAAATGTTTGGTTTCTCATTAGCTGCCAGTGTCACCTTCTGGCTCCCCATCTGTCCCTTCCACATTGATTGTACTGGGCTTTGCTCTGTAAGGGTCAGTTGGGCAGATGGGAAGGAGAGCCCAATAGGAACTGATAACTTTGGGTCTCATGTGGGATTCTGTCTGTCATCCTATAGGCAAAAAAAGCAAGCCAGTTTTCCACTGATTATCTTTTTATGTTATTTCCACATGTACTTTCAGCAAATAGAACAAGAATTGAGGCAAATGGAGCTAATTAAGGATCAGTATCAGAAAAAGAACTATGAACAGGTAGATGATTTCCACAAACCCTATGTTTACTATTCACACAAAATCTCAAACTTGGACAGGTTCACCAAAAATCTCCTTTTGTGCCTTACCAGGCATTGAGTATCCAGAAATTTGTATCTGAGATGACCAGCCTACAGAAAGAGATGCAGCTGTTGGCCAAGAGCCAATATGATGCCTCAGCACGCAGTAAACAGCAAGAGGTCCGACTGGAGGCAGAGCGGAAAATAAGGCAGGAGCTAGAGAATCGGTGCCAGGTAAAGGTTTCTTAAAATTCATCTCAAAGATTGTGAGCAAATGGCATGTCCCAAAACCCAGCCTTATAGTGCCTAGATTTTCTAGGTTCTATAGAGTCGCAATGAGTCAGAATAGAATTGAGGGCAGTGGATTTGTTTGTTTTTATAAAAGAAAACATAAATTTACAAATTGTTTATCTTAGCTAAGTGTTTACAACTGTGGTGTCCTGGAAGAAGCCAAGGAGCCCTGGTGGTATAATAATTAAGCACCCAGCTGCTAAGCGAAAAGTGGGTGGTTTGAACCCACCAGCTGCTCCACAGGAGAAAGAAGTGGCAGTCTACTCCTGTAAAGATTACAGCCTTCGAAACCCTGTGGGGCAGCTCTACTCTGTCTTATAGGGTAGTTATGAGTCAGAATCAACTCAACAGTAACGGGGTTTAGGAAGAAGCCTATAGCTCTGGATATGGCAAATGTTCTCTATTTTCAATTTAATAAAAATGATATTAATTTTAAAGGGACAGTTAGAGATCACATATGCAAAATAGCAGTTACTAAATACGACTTCTGAGCTGAATTTCATAGTCTTTTAAGAAACTTATACCCCCTTGGTTCTTCACTATAGCAAGATGCAGCTGTGCTGTTCAGGACTGTTTTCTCTTCCCAACCTAATAAAAAACATACCATTATGTTGCTGAAAAGGAACATCAAGAGATCACTGAGCTGCTGTCTCCCCCCATCCCTGAAGAGATTGTAATCACTTCTTCTCAGCAGAATCCACAAATCAAAATCTGTAATTACATATGGCTACACACATGCACACACTGTAGGTCAAATGGAATTCAGCAGTTTTTATCTATTATTTTGGTAGCACCTCAAGTTAGTATCCGATCGTGCTTTCACAATTTGGTTGCCCATATATTACAGTGTTAAAACTTTTTGTTCCATCTAGTATACTGGAAGTTTATAAAAATCTTGGCATCACATTTTCAGGAATTAGAAGAAACTGTCAGACATCTGAAGAAATGTAAAGAGGCAACAGAGAATAAACTGAAGGAAGCCAGTGTGGAATCAGAACAGGTGAGCTAGACCCATGGACATAAAGACTTAGACAAGTTTCCTTAGACACAACACCCTGAAACACACAAGTCAGTGCGAAATCCTTGATCAACGTAGTTGTCAGGAGTACAACAGGAAAGAACCAATAACTTACTAACTACAGTCTTTATTGTAAAGAATAAATTTTAGATTAAGATTCTGTGCCCTCATTATAGATAACAGAATGACAGATAATAGTCCAGGTCCCTACCACTAAATATAAACATGGAAGACCATGATGTGCATGGATTTTAATGCATTATTATTTGACATGAACTGAGGAAAGTAGCAGCTCTTTGTTCAAATCAATAGCTAAAAGTATAAAGTAGGCTCTGTTTAATGTGTGGACTTGCTTTCTCTGTTCTATAACTTAAATCAGCCTTTTTGAGGGCAAGTATTTAAAATCATAAGTTTTAGAGATGAAGAGGATCTTTGAGATCATTAGCCCACAATTACTAGCCCTCATTTTCCAGATAAGAAAATTGAGATTCTTAAGCTTAATGTATTACAGTGACCTTGCCGCTATTGATCATGTTTTATCCCTTTTGTAGCCAGCCATTAAATTGCATGATCTAATATGGCTCTCAAAATGGTACTTAGAAAGAACATGGGCTCTGACAAGCCTGAATTTGAATACCAACTGTGACATTATCTGTGTACCCTTAGGGAAGTTACATTTACTTTCTTTAACCTACCAGTTACTGCATCTCTAAAAGTCAGTAAGTTAATACCTAAAAAAACAAACTCGTTGCTGTTGAATTGATTCTGACTCAGCGATACCTACCACTCTGTTATTCTGATAGCTCAGAGTAAGTTTCAATAAATGTTAGCCCCCTTTTGATTCACCATACAATAGGAGACATGATGTACAATGTCATTTCAAGTGTCTTTCCCTCCAGCCCTGGTAAAGAATGCTGGAAAAAGGTAGGTTTGGGTTTTGTTTTGTTTGGGGTGGAAGTGTAGCTATCATCAGGATGTACAAAGAGACATGGAAAATATTTTAGCTTTGTAGCTTTTGAACAGTTAAATGGCACTAGAAAAGGAGAGATCTATTTCTTGTCTGACTATATTATACCCACAGTATGTTCTGGTTAATATGGCACAAGTACACACGTACACAGTCAGGCATATTTATTGATATGCCAGGCACCATGTGCTAGGTGCTGGAGATGCAGGGTGGACAAGCCAGATGAAGCACCTGTTCTCACGGAACTTACCTTCTACCGGGCAAGGGAGAAATGTACCACACTCTCAGACTTCAGAATCAAAAACTAAAAGCCTGTCCATGAAACATAAATAATCAAAGGAGAGAACCAATCATTTTACTTTTTATTCTGGAGCTGGTTTGAAGTGACTTTATTTATGAAAATCTGTTATCTCAACCTTCAAAACACCAAATACCTAGAAAAATGCCAGGCACATACAGGCATTTAATAAATATTTGTCAATGAATTGAATACTGATTCCAGATGGTCTTCCAGTGCAGACTATTAGTGTGACTGTTTTCAGATCTCTAACAAAGATAGTTTGGAAGTGTGTGATTAGGAGCTGAAGTGTAAAATATGTTGCTTATATAACAGAAATAAATACACTAGCCAGTACAATTTTTTAGTAGTTCATCCTTTTATTCTCATAAAGTGCAGCAGAAAAATCTAGCCTTTGCAGTTTAGGAACATTGGAGAAGTATTTAGTCTTAGAGAACAGAGTTCACAAATTAAAATATTATTTGAGCTGCTGCATTCTTAAGAGATCTTCATGCCCACACTTTCATTTTTAATGTCATCTTGTATTTTCTTTCTCACGTAATTTTTCTTCTGGGTCCTGTCTTACCTAATTTACATCCATAAAATATTAACAAATGTATGAACAGCAGCAGGCCTCATTCAGAAGTTACTCTCTCATCTATAGGATGTTAAGTGTATTGCACGAATAGTTTGCAAGGGCCTTGTAGTCAGAAGTTATGTATTTAATATCCAGGTAAAAAGTCAAACTAATACACAAAAACCTTGTAACTGTTGCTTTGTCCTAGCTTATAATAATCACATTTATATGTTCAGATAACAGCTAACCTAGAAGAAGCTCACCGCTGGTTTAAGTGCAAGTTTGATGGTCTACAACTTGAGCTGACAAAAAACCGGTTGCAGAGGCTTCCCCGAGAAGACAGGTGGCAGGAAGAGGTAAGTTATTTTAGACATGGCTATTTTAAACAATTTTAGATTTGTATTCTTCTTGGATTGCTAATTATAGAAGTTCTCTCTTTATCCAGCTACTCTGTACACTAATCTTTAGATTTGTTTAAACCATTACCAGGAAACCAATAAACTAAATTTTTTAAAGTTTCACCTCTCCCAGACTGTCTCGATTAGAACCACCTAATTGATTAATAAATGACATAGAGACAGAACAGGTCCTCAACTCTACAGGGTTAGTTTTAAACAGTCAGTGCTAGGTATGTTTTTTTTTTCCCAACAGGACCAAGATATAAGGCACGATGCGATGCCCAACCAGTCTGCTCTACATCGATGGGAGGCTAAACAGAATCTTAGGTTCATGTCCAAGAAGTGCCATTCTGAGGTAGAGAGGAAGTGATGTCCTTGACAGAGGAGCATCTCCATGTATGGCTACACCTCCGTGATTCCGTGAGCCCAACAATGAGGGCTGGCCTGTGGCTACAGTTATCAAAATGTGAAGTCTTTGATGTGGGCTGAAGATTGTAGACTTGAGTTTATCCTTTTATGAACTCATTTATATCAGTACAGAACCACTCCACCTTTTTTGTCCCTTTCACCGTTTTCCACTCAATAAATTTATATTAATTTGTTGTATGATAGGACATACTGTTGCACGATACTTGGATATGTTTCTAAGTACACATACTCCTCACTTATTGACTATCTTGTTACCTGACGTTTTACATTTACAACAATAGTAAAAAACCTACTGTCAGACTATTTTGCACATTAATGATGTACATCTGGCAGTAACTAATGCCAAGGTGCGAGGCATGAGTAACACTGGCTGTGATGGTTAAGGTTATGTGTCACCTTGGCTGGGCCATGATTCTCGGTGGTTTGGCAGTTATGTAATGATGTAATTTAGCAGTTAGGTAATGATGTAATTTGGCAGTTATGTAATGATGTGATTTGGCAGTTATGTAATGATGTAGTTATCCTCCCTTTTGTGATCTGATAATGGTCATCCTCCATTTTTTGCATAATACCAATTTGCACATAACGACCTGGTCTTTGGAACCTAACCATGTCGATAAGTGAGGAGTGAGTGTACATTATTATCAAAAAGCAATTAGCGAGGTACTAAGTGATACAGCTATTTTGTTTCAGTGAAATGTTCAGTCTAACATCCAATAGATAATCCCTAAAATAAAATTCTAGGGATAGAATCAGTTGGAAAATAGTAAAAGTCTTCTACTTTCTTGTAAATACTCTTCTGTGCTGGGTGATTATCGGTACATTTTTACTAAGACCAATATCTCTGTTCTTATATAAGAGATCTCAGAGATTATATTTACAATTGCCTTATTATTTAAAAATAAGTTAATTTAATACAGTAATCTAGACTTAACGCATGTGAAGTGGCTAGCACATTGCCTAGCTTAATACTCAAGTAATGATAGCTGCTGACACTACCATCAGGACCTGTATCAACTGAGTAATTATGAAATTGGAAAGAATGTCAAACATAAGACTGCCAAACATTGATGAGACTACCCACTCAATATCTGAAATAAACAGACAAAGCTGAATTTTTGCTTACTATAGTAAGGGAAAGCTATGTTGGTCAGGCATAGTCTCCCTGAGCAGAGCAGACTGCTGATCTTATATAGGGTTTTGGGAAAGTGTGGAGTTTAGTGATCTGAAGACTTTCAAAGGTTTAAGTGGGTTGACAACATCTGTAGAAGAGTAATTACTTGAGTGGGACTGTTGATTGTTTGACACTCTGAGGCATGTTTATTGGATTCAGCCCATTCCTGTTTGTCTGACTTTCAGAAGCGAGGGACTATCACTGATTGGCAGGCTTGTAAAAACATATTTTGGAGTAATACAAAAATATCTTGCACCCATCAAGGTCAAATTCACAATGTGTGTCACCCAATCCAAAATTACCAGGCATGCAAAGAAGGAAGAAAATATGACATATAATGAGAAATCAATCAAAATTTACCCTGAATTAACATAGATGTTAGAAATGGCAGACAAGGATAACAATTATTATAACTGTATTCTATATGTTCAAAGAGTATTAAACCAGTGGATGGTAATATGAGGAAGTATATGAGAAAATAACAATAATTCATAATTATTTAATTAACTAGTAGAAAAATGTTGGGTGGCTTCCTTTAGCAGTAGAGATTTACTGCATATGGTAACATCAGATTTAAAGGTGATCCTAACACAACATCTGAAGATGCTCTGATTAATTTTTTTGAGGACTGTAATTGTTCTGAGGCAAGCTAAGCCTTGCCTACTGAATTAAGGGATAGGCAGTGGTTCTTCTAGGTGTGCCATCTTGTTAACATTTCTAGAGCATGGCCTAACCTTTTCATGTTTGTACAAAAGAGATTTATGAAAATCTAGGAAGAATCAATGTGTGGACCCTAATGGACTTTGCTTCAGTTAATCTGTGGAATCTTTTGCCCATAAGGATTCTGAAACCATAGATGCTACTTTGGTAGTTTCTTGAGTCTAGAGTATGTATTGTAGTGTCACATCAGCTGTAATCTGATCATGTATGGGGGCTGTAGTGTATTTATCTCAAAGTAGATCCTACTTATTAAATCTATAGGCATTACAAAAAATAAAGGAGTATTTTTCTGATAGTGATCCCTAAATATTAGGTATAGTTTGGGGAAATCCTAAGGAAAGGATTTAGGATTGTTTGAAATTCTTTTTTTTTTTTTTTTTGGAGTGGTTTTTGTAAACCAAATAAAGGTTTTTTCCCCTCAAGCTTCCATAATTACTACAAACCCCCAAATTAATTTTTTATTATCTTTCATAATGACATAAACAGTCATTTTTACTTTAAGATAAAATTTCTCTCTCTCACTATAAGTCCATTTGCTTCCTTGTTGCTTTTTAGTCAACTTTAAATTTTTATTCTAAAGGATCTGATGTTTCATAGTAGTGAGATTAATGGTAGATCTAATAACATTAATAGCAACAACAATGCCCCACTTAGGAGTTTAGAGAAGGAACAGGGAATTATGGTAGGCTAACATCTCCTTTAGAGTGGCATTACTAGACAGATTTTGGATAGCTGTCCTTCAGTTTCTTAGTCAATATTGGACAATTGTTCTTTCAGTGACCCTTTTCCTTACCATATCTCCTTTTGGTCTATTTCTTATTTCATAGGTCAGTTTATCTAGAGAGCCATAGGTTGTATTGATTTCTAGCTTGTTTACTTTCTAAGGCTCTCTGAAAACATCTAGTCAATATAATAGACTTTTTCTGAAATAAGAATTTCACGTTTCAGTTCATTTTTTCTTATTAAACTCCCTAATTTAGATTTGAGCCTAAAAATTTCTTTCATAAGGATCAGCACAAAGCTGGTTCCTACGAGATGGAGGTTAACGTTGTCCCAAATGTCCAACTTTTCCAAGCTGCTGTACCCCTCCATCATCTCTAACATCAACTACTCCCTCTCCCCTCAGTACTCTCCCTTCCGTCTTTGGGTTCCCTAATGCGTTGCAACATCTCACAGAACTCACAAACTGTATACAAAAAATGGCCGATGCAGTTGTAGAGGCTGGCAAGTCCCAAATTCATGGGCCAAGCATAGGCTTCTCCCTGGCCCTCAGTCTATGCCCAAGGCACTCAGCTTTCTCACTCCATGGGCCAGAAAGCCCACTGCGCTGTCTTCTGTGGGCATCTCCTGTGGGTCTCTCCTGAGGGTCTCTCCTGCTGGTCTCTCCTTCCTTGGCGGTGGTGGGCTCTTCTCTTTCCTGCTTCTGGGGTGGCGCATTTCAAGCCCAGTGGGATGGCAAAACTGACCAATCCCCTTGGTGGGCCACAGTTACCCTATTACATAGTCCCGCCCAAATTACAAGACCATGGGAGTTACAAGACCATGGCTAGAAAGCCTACACAAAAAGCAATCCATTATACCACAGAGCCCATTTACAAAAAGAGAGGATAAGACTTCCTTTGCTTCAGCTGTTGAGTCTACCCCAGAATACTGTTTGAAAGAGGAGCAAGATGCTAAGAGATATGGCTGTTTGATAATCTTGGCATCTCTCTTCTGAAGAGCATTTATTCTGGCTCTTATCTGGTCATCAATCTCATTTCATTGAGCAAAATGGCTTCAAGTTGGCACTGCATTATATGATCATGTATTCTCAGCCTTGGATTTATTTGAGCAATAGGGACTCTGTAAAGCATTTGCTAGTATAAGGCCTTTTGTAAATGGTCAGAAACAGTATACAATATATAACAGAGTGGAACGGACTATGGAATATTCCCTTTTACTTTTGGATATTTTCCTGTGACTACTCAAGTCCATACATTTTGTCCTAAAACTACCTTGGGCTTCTCTTCATACAGTCATAAATGGTGCGCTTTATCAATGTCTGACTTCCAAATAGAACTGACATGCTCTCTGAGACAGAGGAATGTTGTTGTTTATTGTTAGGTGCCTTTGAGTCGGTTCCTACTCATAGCGACCCTATGTACAACAGAATGTAACACTGCCCGGTCCTGCACCATCCTCACAATCATTGCTGTTTGAGCCCATTGTTCTAGCCACTGTGTCAATCCATCTCATTGGGGTCTTCCTCTTTTTCAATGACCCCCTACTTTACCAAGCATGATGTCCTTCTCCAGGGACTGGTCCCTCCTGATAACATGTCCAAAGTATGTGAGATGAAGTCTTGCCATTCTTACTTCTGAGGGAGCCTTCTGGCTGTACTTTCTCCAAGACAGATTTGTTTGTTCTTCTGGCAGCCTATGGTATATTCAATATTCCTCCAACATCATAATTCAAAGGCATCAATTCTTCTTTGGTCTTTCTTATTCATTGGTCAGCTTTCACATGCATATGAGGCAACTGAAACTACCATGGCTTGGGTCAGGCACACCTTAGTCCTCAAAGTGACATCTTTGCTTTTTAACAGAAGCAGAGGAAGGCATTGATTAATTCCAGTATTTTCTAAATGAGGCATTCATCCCTAATAAACTACAGAGCTAAACACTGGATTCTCACAACTTATTTCTTAAGTCAGATCTCTCCCATTAAACCTAACTAGAAGCTGAACTGAATGACCATAAAGTTAACTTTTCTGTCTTGGGTTCTTTATTCTTACTTAGAGGGAACCAATTAGGCCGTTTTTAGTCAAAACAATTGTTGGTTGTTGTATCTCCTTAAGTCACAAGTCATAAAAATCGAAATTAAATTAGAATTTATTGGCTCCCGTAACCAAAAAGCTTTGGATGAGAGTGCTCATATGATGTCATCAGGAATTTATCTCAGTGATAATTTCCTCTGTGTTTCCCAAACAGGTTCCCTCCTTGAGAAGTCCAGATAGATGCTGATATCTCCATATTCTCATTTTAAGGTTTACCAACTCCAGGAGAAAGAAAGCTTTTCTTTTTTTTATAGTTCTAACAAGAAATCCAGGATCAAATCTCATTGGTAACATGCCCATTCTAAACCAATCAGTATGACTTAAAAAATGGACTATACATTGATTGGCTAGATCTGGGTCATGTGCCTATCTCTGACACTGATTACGGGTTCCCAAAGAAAATCAAGGTGATGTTCTAAGAAGAAGAGAAATAGAGGGAGGCAAGGCCACACACATCCATCACAACACACGTCCATCACAACAGTCGTAAGATT